TGCTCTTCTGTTACTGATTTCAATTTCACATCTTTAAGATTCATAAATGGAACAAATGTCATGCCTTTCTGTCACCTAAAATGAAATAAAGTTCACTGCATTAATCTTGTTACACTGTTCTGCACTTAGTGTTAGAAATCAGATCACAGCTTTGTGCAAGCGAGCAGATTAATAGAACAGCCTACACAAAATAAACGCACACATGATTAATACAATCTTTTTTATATCATGCAAAAAGCTCGAAAGTCTAAAATGTGATATATGTGGCAGCAATTTTTATTTGCAAATGAATGTGCATTATACTGTAATAAATTAGTTATGTGAAGCAATTATACAAAGATAATGGCCCTGTTTGGGCTAATTACATATGAAAAGGAATATCACATGCAAGAGTATTATTATGTTAACTCAATTGTTCTCACATCATCACTGTATAGCTGAACTTGAGTGTGCTGATTAAACAGATGGTTACACAGTTTGATGTGAACTATTAATTTATTTTGGTTGTGATTAAAATACTTGATAAACATTGGGTTGAAATATTGACTTTTCACCAATGGGAGTTTTTTCATGTGCTGTAGAACATGAAACATGAAAAGGACAACATATCAGTCACTTATAGTCTGATTTACTATGCGAAAACCCTCCCATAAACATAAGACACAAATAAAACATTTCATGGGTCCCCACTTTTCCTCTAATACTAGGTGAGATACTTAAATAGTCCCCCACATACTCTTTTGCAAATACAATATGGACTTGAAGGAGTCATGAATCACATTAACATAAATCTTCCCCAAATGCATTGAATACATTATATTTCACAGAGATACATGATGCATTCAATGTTTTGAGATATACACTTACCTAACCATCTCTGACATGTTCTCAGCATCATGGAAGCCAGCACTAGCAGCATTGGGTGGGGAGTTACCATAGCAACCACAGTGCATATGCTATGGTTGCTATGTGTGAAAAGCAGGACAAGCTGTGTCAGAGGAGGGGTTTCTTCTGCTTTTTCTGTCAGTCAATTCTACAGCATAGTGTTTGTGCCAAGTAATTAAAAGGTGGGATAAAAAATAAGTTTAACTAGAATTTTCTCCCAAAATCTATAGTTGATTGCAGTCTACCAGCACATTTTTTTCATGAAATGTTATGAGCAGAGTTGTAGGTACCACAACAGGTGCCTTTTAATAACTGGACAAGAACTGTAAAATATTTTGATGTTTATAAGATCAAAGTTAGAATTAGAGTTAGTGTGAGTTAGTTAAAGAGATATTTTGTGGATATATGGTAACATTAACAATGCTCAGTTTTAATACAGAATAATTATAATTAGAGTTGAGCTAACCCGAACTGAAAAGTTCGGGCTTGTACCGAATGTTATGTTTTTTGGACCCGGACCCCAACACGGACATATCACTGTATGTTCGGGTTGGAGTTCGGTGTTCGCATTTTGAAAGGCTGCAGGGCAGCCAATCCGCAAGCGTTTGACTCGTGTGCCCTTAGAAGCCATCACAGCCCAAGCGGTGGGTGGGTGCCATAAATAAAAATTGGGGGGGGGGGAACCTAATGTCCTCTCTCCTGGCCCCCACCCCTGAGCGGTGGGGGGCCATAAATAAAAATCCAACCCCCCAGATGACTAGGGGTCCCAAACCCCTAGTCACCCCTCTCCCCCCAAAAAAATTACCCCTATCTACCGCCTCACCCTAAAAATAATGAGGGGGGGACCTGTAAAAAAGTACCTGTACCTGTAGCAAAGTACCTGTAAAAAAAAACAAAACTTACCATTTGCTGTTTTCTTTCTTCTATAATCTTCTTTTTTCAGCCCCAAAAAAGGCCAAATAAAAATCCAGAATAACCGACACACTTTAAAAAAAAAAAAAAAAAACGAGAATAAAAAAATCTTTCTTCACCCATGGAGGGCTCCACGCAGACTGAGCTCTGCAGGGCGGGGGAAGGCTTATAAAGCCTTGCCCACCCTGCAATTAGGCTCAGAGCACTCTGATTGGTGGGTTTAAGCCATCCAATCAGAGTGCTCTGACAGGTAAATGAAGAGACTCTACATTTACCTGTAAGTCTCTACATTTACCTGTAACAGCACTCTGATTGGTTGGCTTGAAATCCACCAATGAGAGTGCCCTGTGTCATTTTACACAACTTTCCCATGCTCTGTAAAATGACACAGAGCACTCTGATTTGCTGGATTTCAAGCTAACCAATCAAAGTGCTTTGTGTCATTTTACACAGCGTGGGAAAGTTCTTTGGATTTTTCCCACGCTGTGTAAAATGACACAGAGCACTCTGATTGGTGGATTAAGTAAACAATCAGAGTGTTATGAGTCAAATTACACAGCGTGGGAAAAATCCAAAGAACTTTCCCACGCTGTGTAAAATGACACAGAGCACTCTGATTGGTTAGCTTGAAATCCAGCAAATCAGAGTGCTCTGTGTCATTTTACAGAGCATGGGAAAGTTCTTTGGAAGAGGATTTCAAGCCAACCAGTCAGAGTGCTGTGACAGGTAAATGTAGAGACGTACCTGTCAGTCTCTTCATTTACCTGTCAGTGCACTCTGATTGGATGGCTTAAACCAACCAACCAGAGTGCTCTGAGCCTAATTGTAGAGCTAAAAGAGCTCAGTCTGTGCGGAGCCCTCCATGGGTGAAGAAGGATTTTTTTTTTGCGCTCTTTTTTTTAACATTTTTTTAAAGTGCATCGGTTATTCTGGATTTTTATTTGGCCTTTTTGGGGGCTGAAAAAAGAAGATTTTAGAAGAAAGAAGAACACATCAAATGGAAAATCTATTTTTTTAACAGATATTTAGACAAGGGTCCCCCCTCATTATTTTTAGGATGAGGGGGGTAGGTAGGGGTAATTTTTTTGGGGGGAAGGGGGGTGACTAGGGGTTTGGGGACCCCTAGTCACCTGGGGGGAATTTTTATTTATGGGCCCCACCCACCACTCAGGGGTGGGGGCCGGGGTGGACAGTAGGTCCCCCCTTTATTGTTATTTAGGGCCCCCACCTGCCGTGTAGGGGTGGGGGCTGGGGGGACATTAGGTCCCCCCATTATTGTTATTTAGGGCCCCCACCCACCGTGCAGGGGTGGGGGGAGGACATTAGGTCCCCCCTTTTATATTTATGGCCCCGACCCACTGCTCAGGGGTGGGGGCCGGGGGGAGGACAGTAGTTCCCTCCCTTATTGTTATTTAAGGCCCCCACCCACCACGCAGGGGTGGGGGCCGGGGGGAGGACATTAGGTCACCCCCCCAATTTTTATTTATGGCCCCCACCCACCGCTCAGGGTTGGGGGTCAGGGTGGAGGACATTAGATCCCCCCCAATTTTTATTTATGGCCCCCACCCACCGCTCAGGGGTGGGGGCCAGGGGGAGGACCATAGGTCCCCCCTTATTGTTATTTAAGGCCCCCACCCACCACGCAGGGGTGGGGGCCGGGGGGAGGACATTAGGTCACCCCCCCAATTTTTATTTATGGCCCCCACCCACCGCTCAGGGTTGGGGGTCAGGGTGGAGGACATTAGATCCCCCCCAATTTTTATTTAAGGCCCCCACCCACCACGCAGGGGTGGGGGCCGGGGGGAGGACATTAGGTCACCCCCCCAATTTTTATTTATGGCCCCCACCCACCGCTCAGGGTTGGGGGTCAGGGTGGAGGACATTAGATCCCCCCACCCAATTTTTATTTATGGCCCCCACCCACCACTCAGGGGTGGGGGCTGGGGGGGGAGGACAGTAGGTCCCCCCTCCACATTCTTTTTTAGGGCCCCCACATGTCACACAGGGGTGGTGGCAATAGGTTTTTAGTTGTTTTTTTTACAGTGAGCAGCCACTGGCTGGTATAGCGAGTAGGGGCTGAATTTACTAATACTAAGTAATCTTTACTTAGTATTAATAAATGTGACTGAAAGACCAATTTAGGTCTTTCAGCCTTTTGGTAGGTAGCTCCCTAATACCGTGGGAATTATGGAGTTATCTACTAAGTGGCTGCTTATTTTATGTTATTTTTAAGTGATTTCCCTATCCACATTTGTTTGCTGGGCACTTGTCCTACTCTTACCCCCATTTTACATTTTACTTTTGCAGCCCTCTAGCCATTTCCTGGAGTTTTTTAGAGCCATTTTTGTGCCCAAAAGTTCGGGTCCACAGTGACTTCAATGGGGTTCGGGGTCAAGTAAGAGCCCGAACCCGGACTTTTTTTTAAAGTTGGGCCGAACCCGCCGGACCCGAACATCCAGGTGTCCGCTCAGCTCTAATTAGAATGTTGGTACATTTAACCCAACTTTAGAATGTTTAAAAACATTCATAAACATTATTTCAAAAATGTAGACACATAATGGAATTATAGACATTTTGGATCAATCAGGTTTGTTTTGTAATGTAAGAGTTTCAGCGAGCGACCCCAACAGCAACCAGGTAACACAAAAACACCTATGTGGCAACCTCTCTATCCACATAAAATCGAAGCACATAAATACATACAAAGTAGGTGGAGTATCTTGGTTCGTTGATGCAAAGTAAAATGTAATATAAAATGAGAACTGTAAAGACAGAAAAAAATGACAAAAACTAGTGCAGTACCCTAAAGTACATAAATAGCTTCATGTGTAATGTGTGATTCAGTACTCACAAAAAGAGAGCCAAAAGGGAAATGGCTCAACTCAAATGCCTGTGGGATGATTGTAAGGGTTCCCACTCCCTTTCTGTGCAGCAGCTATGTCTGAGTTCCTTTGTGTAATTATGAAGAAGAGACCATAACCGTTCAGGTAGAAGGCAATTCTTTTTTTAATAAAAAAGGATATACATAAAATACAACTAAACTTAAAATACAGAAAAATAAAATTCCTAATAGAAGATCACTCAATGTGATAAAAAGATAAAAATAGTCCACTCTGGGATAGCAAGACGCGTTTCGCCTAATAATTAGGCTTCCTCAGTTGCTCCTGATGTTATCTTCCCACCACTAGTCCTTTTATACTCTTCTATAATGAGAGGATGCCGGACATCTGTTGTAAGTTCACTTCTTCCGGGTTCCGGGTTCCGGGTTCCGGGTTCCGTATTTCGTCGTCATTTCCGGCTTCCTGTTCATGACGTATTTCCGGTTTCCGGATTCCTCCGATGTTCGAACGCATATGCGTTCCACTTAATGAAAAAACTTTATTCACATATGTCTGCAGTCCGGATTCTTGTCTAACCTTCTCCCCATTTCATTTGCATTTACTTATGGAACATATGTGTTCCACCTCTAGAGGAAATGAATACATATCATATATGTATATTCTTTGTACACATTATCATATACATAAAATATTTGGTAATAGAAAAGGTCCTTATGTGAATTCTAAAAACACAATAATAGTAATAATCAGTATGTTAAAACATGGGGACATCAAAAAATCCATATATTTTAAAATATCTGTGTAAAAAGAAAAAAAGAAGAGGAAGAGAAAATGTATACATATATATCTGATTAAAAATAAGAGAAAAAATTATAAAAAAATAATAAAATAAGTCCTAAACGGAAAAGACCAAATCCCATACAGAAAAAGCATAAGTAACATATACTTAGGTGCAAATAGCAGTAATATCAGGTACACATACTTAGATGCAAATAGCAGTAATATCAGATAACCCATTGTGTAACATATAGAAATAATTATTTTTTGAGGAAATGGCAGATCTCAAAATCAGAATTTAACCCATTAGGTATCAAAGTGTTAAGGTTAAAAACGAATTTCATTTCCTCCTTCCCTAGTTTATTCACATAATCTCCTCCTCTACAATTTTTGGTTACTAATTTTATTGCACAAAAGAGAAGACCTGTGGGATCTTGATTATGGGTCATTCTAAAGTGCTGAGAGACAGAATGCGTTTCTAGACCTTTTCTGATATTACGCACATGTTCTGCAATTCTTATATGGAGTGGTCGTATTGTTCTTCCTATATAAAGGAGATTGCAGGGACATCTTAAGACATAAATAACTCCTTTAGAATGACATGTGAGGTGATCCTTTATCTTATATTGTTGTCCTAACAGTTCACTTATATCCAGAAGGTGTCTCTTCTTACTTTTCGTTACTCTGCATGGTAAACATTCCCCACAACCATAAAAACCTACAAGATCGTTCAAAAAATGGTCTGGTTTGGCAGTATCTAGACTGCTCTTAACTAAAATATTTCTTAAGTTCTTGGTTCCTCTATATATGATTTTTGGTTTTGGAAGTAAAATAACTTTCAAAATAGGATCATCTCTCAAAATACACCAGTGTTTTTGTATGTTTTTTTGAATTTTTTTTAGTATTTCTATTATATTTACATATAAAGGGAATATCCTCACTTTTTTTAGAGGAATTTTTAGATTTATATTTTAAAAGTTGTTTTCTTTCTAAAAGTTTTATATCTTCTAAATCTTTTTTTAGTTTAGTTTCCTCGTAACCTTTCTTTAGAAATTGATTCATTAGATATTGTGATTGTTCTGTGTATACTTGTGTATCTGTGCAGTTTCTTCTTAACCTCTTGAACTGTCTTCTTGGTGCATTAACGAGCCAAGGAGTATGATGACAACTAGTTCTATCAATTTAACTGTTGGTATCCACTGGTTTAAAATAGTTTTTGGTATAGATATTCGAATTTTCAATATATATATTTAAATCCCAAAAATTAATTTCTGTGTGGCTAATATTACAAGTGAGTTTGATGCCCCAATCGTTATTATTGATGAGCTGTAGGAAATTAGTTAGTTCTTGATTATCTCCCATCCAGATAAAAAATATATCATCAATATATCTGCGGTAGGACACCAAGTTTGCCGTCCAGTCATGCCCACTGGAAATAAAATGTTCTTCCCAGTATGCCATAAAGAGATTGGCATAGCTGGGGACAAACTTGGTGCCCATTGCTGTACCACAGATCTATAGAAAAAACTGGTCCTGGAACCAAAAAAAGTTGTTGGTTAAAATTAGAAGAATTCCCTCCAAAATAAAATCTATTTGTTCTTTCTTAAAAAGAGATTTTTCTAAAAAATATTTTGCTGCCTCTAGTCCTATAGTGAACTGACGTCACATGTAACCAAAATGTATCCTTCCTGCCATCAAGTTTGTTCTAATATCTGAAGCATATGGATCGTGTCTTTCAGATAGTATGGATTCTGTACAACCAAAGGTTGTAACATAATGTCTATATATTCTGATATCCGAGTAGATATAGAGTCAATGCCTGATATTATCGGCCTGCCTGGTGGATTATGTTGGTCTTTGGGTAGATGGTAGAATACTCGTATCTGTGGATGGTTAATGGATAAATATTTGGCTTCTTTCTCGTTTATAATCTCTAAATCTTTTCCTTTCAGAATATATTCCTCAAATTTTTTTTGTGTCTCTACCATGGGGTTAGATGGTAGTTGTTGATATGTTTAAGGGGCTAAAAGAATTCTCTCTGCTTCTTTTATATATTTGTCTTTCTCGAAAATAACAATGCCACCCCCTTTATCTGCTGGTTTGATTATGGTATCGTTATCCTTTTCCATTTCTTTTAATGTTTTCTGTTCCCTACGAGATAAATTCTGTTAATACATGTTGTTTTTTTTAATTTTGTCTACTTCCTTCATAACTATGATTTCAAAGGCCTTCATCTGGTCTGAAATCATATGTTTCGGGAAGAAAGTTGATTTTTCCCTCAAATCGATGTGTATGTAATTCTCATTCTGTGTAGTTACGGGGGATTGTTCTTTCCCAAAGAAGAACTTTTTAAGGGATAGTCTTCGGATAAAGTGGTTCACATCAATGAAAAAGTCAAATTTATTGAAATCCGTTGTGGGTGCAAATTTCAGGCCTTTTGAAAGAATTCCTGTCTGTTCTGTAGAGAGAGTTTGTTCTGTTAGATCAAAAATTCCTTCTATGTTCTTCTCCTGTTTCTTTTCTCCCTGTATCGCTGTTCCTCTTCTTCTTCTATGGATCTCCATCTCTTTCCTGGGGATTCTTGGGGGAACGTTTTCTGTGACAACTGCAATCTGTTGATGGTTGGGTCCTTCCAATAAAACAGGGAAGATGCTGTGTCTGTTTGTTGGGGGGCAGGTCTATTTCTGATCTGGTGGTCCCTAACTGCAGAAGTTGGTTCTGAGAACCTC